TATACATCTCTAATACTTCTACCCTTGGGCAAAATCTAGAATTGTCTGAAATCAAATCTGTGTAAGTAGGCCTATAAGTTTATGCCATGAAAGTTATGTCATGTTTGTAGAATGTGTGTAGTCTATATCGATATACCAAAATTTCGAGGGTTATAAAAATGTAAACCGGTGTAGCAGGTCTCTAGAAAACACTGGGGAAAATCCCCTACCATATTTTGAGCTGATTTTATTGTTAGTGCAACTTCAGAGTATACTTTTTACAAATTACATTAACATTTTCAAAATCTGTTTAAAACTCAATGAGGCGTTCTGTTCGCAAATTAACCCCTTCCAAATTAATTAAGTACATAGGCTAGATAACACTGATAATTATGAATTATGTTAATGTACGAATTATGGTAAAAAGATGAAACTGACTTTAGTAAATAACTAACTAAACTTTTCCTTGACTATGTTAAACAAACGTATTTGGCTCAGGTATTCTAGGGAGGGATACCTGAAGTGGGGAAATCTAAGCTATTTTACAAAAAATACTTCCCGCTATAAATACAGTTGTACTCTACGAATTAATAGTCTGAAAATTACAGACGAATTCCATAAATCAATACTCTGAGAATAGTGGATACTATACTTAGGATTATGTTCTCTTGCAAACTTTTAAGTTATACGTATTAATATTCTGCGAACTACAGGTAGATTTAAATGTGTAACTTTCAAAACAATGGGCGACCGTTCATGGAATAACTGTACTACTTCAATGTCAATTTAGTTATTTAATATCAGCAGTGTGAAATCATGAAATAAAGTGAATGTGACACTGTTGCTTGCTTCTCTGTCAACGCAAACGTAAATAGTGTAAGCTTTTTCCTGTTTATTGCCGAAGAAACTAACCAATATTTACTTTCTAAATTCTTTTTGCGGGAAATAGTCCTTCACCAATATCAAATCAGGAATATTCTCAATGCATTTATTTTACCATAAAATCCAGACAATTATTTAAATGTATAAAAATTATATACAGCATTTATTGCTCAATTTTTACAATTTAAGAATTAGGAAATGTGAAAATATGTTTGTCAAGTGTGTACTGTATTATGATGTTGAGTGGTTGAAGCATGCTCATATTAATACGAGTTGATTCCTTACTTAATTGTCACTATTACTTTAAACATTTTATTTCATTTCCACGTTTTACAAATACATTTTATACGTTGACGGAAAAAAACTATACGTAATTTATACATCATTTGATGTATAAAATTAAGGGGAAATGTCTAGAGAAAGCACAATATCAAAGTGTTAATTTGTATTTATCTTAATATCCACAACATTTGCGTAATAATACCAAATCCTTCCCATTCTTGCGAGTTCAGTCGAGCGGTGGTAATATGGGACAGTCTCTACCCTTGTGAACAATAGCTGGCTCGAGTCACGAGCCCAAGCCCTACAGCAGGTATACCGGGGGAGATCATGGCAGGGGGGGACCTTTCCGGGGTGTGCATTTTGAAAACGATCGGGGTTAACGTATCCGGTTAACATAAATTCGAATTAGAAAATCTGGTAATTGTATATGATAAGTGAATATAATTATCTAATTAATACGCAAACTCAAAAATAACTCTTCATATCGACGAGTGCATGCTGCAACTGAAATTGAGTGTCCGCGGCCGGAAACATCACCCCCCGGTCTCTGACGTCAATATGACGTAGGGGGGTGATGTTTCCGGGGGCGACCTTTCCGCGTCCCCATACTAGCAGTACCCACGGGCTTTGCCCCGTTTAACTTCATAAGTGAGCTCGTTCGCATGGCTCAATCACGTCCTGGTTGAGGTTCGTTCGCTACGCTCACTCACTTTTAGGTTGGAGCTCGTTCGCTGCGCTCACTTGCCTTCAGGTTAGCTCGTTCGCTACGCTAACTCGCCTCCAGGTTGAAGTTCGTTCGCTACGCTCACTCACCTTTTGGTTGCAAATTAGCTGTTGTCATAAATGTAAAAGATATAATAGTGCTGCACCCTGTTGGTAATCCTTTTAACTTTAATGCTATTGAACACCATAGAACAGAACCAACTTGTTTAATTGAAACAGCTGTTAAGATTCATTAATTCCATTTAATTATGAGTACTCATAAGGTTATAATGGGAATCTCCAGAGACACTGGGGCGGAGCCCGAGAGTCCGATCAGAATAAAAACAGCTTAGTTTTCCTATTTAATGCCTAAACAATCAATGTACCAAATTTTAGCCTCCTAGGTAAATGGGAAGTAGGAGAATTAGTGATGAGTGAGTCAGTAAGGGCTTTGCCTTTTATATATATAGATATATTTGAACGAATGGTGTTTTTAGCCTCTGGTGACATCAAAATGAAAAAGAAAATCGGTCCCGGACCTATGTATTACCGTGCCACCTACGGTAATAGCTACTTCCCTATAGGGAAATTCGTGAAAAGGTGAATCTTATTGCTCTGGCAATACAATTACATGATATATTACGAGTCTTCAGATTAACATTCTCTAATATTGTTATACATTTTAGATTCTTAGATCCGAAGAAATATTTAATCCATATCAACAGTTATTCAACACAATTTGCTTAGCAAACAACTTTCAAACCTGCCTCAGTTGCAATCAAAGTTGAAAGCAATCGGGTCAAGAAACAATTGTGCGACAACAAAATTGTCACGTAGGCGTCGCAAACAAACACGGGCGACGTCTTTAGCAGATGACGTGACGTCATGTCACGCCCATCCCTACCGGACCTGTAGCAATGACGTCATTGACATCCCACCAAAACTGTTCATTGCTACTGTACTTTTGCAAAAACCACTTATGAAGCAAAACTTATGGAACCATTGTTTTTGTGAAACAGAACGTTAACAAACTATTGAATCTCTCGGTTTTATCGAATTTCCCATATGAATAAGCTATTACCGTAGGTCTCATGGTAAGACTTGGACCCGGGACCGATTAACTTTTTCATTTTGATGTCCCTAGAAGCCAAAAACACCATCCGTTCAAATTCATATGTATATAAACCATATACTCGTCTCGTATATACACTGTATAAATTATTACCATATTTATTTCATATATAAATATGGGAACGCGATTTATGGGGTAAAAATTGGGTTTTCTCGTTTTTGACCCTCAAAACATAATTATATAACCATTCGTACTTGACATAAAATACCTACTTTGTATGGTCGCCATTTCATTGAAAAGTATTAAAAGTATTAATATTTCCCAAATTTTCTCTAGACCATTTTGAAGAGCTTTAAAAAAATAATTTATCATAATGAAGTGTTTTAGTACGGTTATTGGTTACGGAGAAAATTGTAAATTGAAAATTCCCATGTTATTCGGAGAATAAGTAAAAAGTTGTAGTTTGCTTGTTTATGGATATAATAAATTTGGATGAAACTTGGCAAATTTATTTATTTTATACAAAGCTATTAATATTTTACTAAAAACCCCACTTTATTACCCTCCCTGTAGGCAGCAAACCTATATAGAAAGTTTTCAACACGTTTTCACAAGGAATAAAACTTGTTGATTTTAATGTTGTCGTAGTTGACATGTCATGTTTAGTTTGGATACATCATATAGGTAAATGGTGTGGTTCACATTGCTTGCAGTTCCTTCATTTACAAAACCTGTTATCGAATATAAATGTATTTTTTATTTAAGAGATCATTGTAGACATTTCCCATCACGGACAAGTGTTCACGTCGTTTCGGAATTTGGAGTCCGATCCCGTCCTCAGCCAGTTACAACATAACAAGATTAGAACACAAACCCAGCAAAAGGCGGAGAATTACAATTTGGAATCCGATCCCGTCCTCAGCCACTTACAACATAACAAGATTAGAACACAAACCCAGCAAAAGGCGGAGAATTACAATTTGGAATCCGATCCCGTCCTCAGCCACTTACAACATAACAAGATTAGAACACAAACCCAGCAAAAGGTGGAGAATTACAATTTGGAATCCGATCCCGTCCTCAGCCACTTACAACATAACAAGATTAGAACACAAACCCAGCAAAAGGCGGAGAATTACAATTTGGAATCCGATCCCGTCCTCAGCCACTTACAACATAACAAGATTAGAACACAAACCCAGCAAAAGGCGGAGAATTACAATTTGGAATCCGATCCCGTCCTCAGCCACTTACAACATAACAAGATTAGAACACAAACCCAGCAAAAGGTGGAGAATTACAATTTGGAATCCGATCCCGTCCTCAGCCGCCTACAACATAACAAGATTAGAACACAAACCCAGCAAAAGGCGGAGAATTACAATTTGGAGTCCGATCCCGTCCTCAGCCACTTACAACATAACAAGATTAGAACACAAACCCAGCAAAAGGTGGAGAATTACAATTTGGAATCCGATCCCGTCCTCAGCCACTTACAACATAACAAGATTAGAACACAAACCCAGCAAAAGGCGGAGAATTACAATTTGGAATCCGATCCCGTCCTCAGCCACTTACAACATAACAAGATTAGAACACAAACCCAGCAAAAGGTGGAGAATTATAATTTGGAATCCGATCCCGTCCTCAGCCACTTACAACATAACAAGATTAGAACACAAACCCAGCAAAAGGTGGAGAATTACAATTTGGAATCCGATCCCGTCCTCAGCCGCCTACAACATAACAAGATTAGAACACAAACCCAGCAAAAGGTGGAGAATTACAATTTAATCAAAACAACATAATGGTAACAAACCAAATGATAGAAAACAACGGACTCGTCTGCACAAGGTGGTGGCTCCAGCGAGACCAACCAATATCGCTAATTTTATTTGGCGGAGAAATACTGAAGAACATCTTAAAATAAAGCTTTGTATACTTAGCGATATATTTAGTTTTTAGAGCTTTACTCAGATTGTAGGACTGTGTATTTACTACATACTCACACAGAGGAGTTATGTGTACGTAACTTGTGCAGCGAAGGCGCGGCTGTGGCTGAGCCTCGTACAGTCAGTCTGTGTGTGAACGTCCGAGTGTTCGGATACTCTCCAGGTAACTAGCAGCCCTTCACAACAATGTAACGAGTAGTTAGTTGAATGTCATTGCAACTAATAATTCCGCTTTTTACTCTTGTATCCTATTTGAAAATAGTACCGGAGGCCAAGCCTTGCTCGGTTATGGTTAATTGGGTTTAATCGTTAATACAATATCGTAAACAGACATTTTATAATTTACGAAAAACATTTTAATTACAAACCATGGATATTTTTGATCGCAGAAATAATAACAACTCTGTAATTTAAAAGTATCCAATTGAACAAAAAATAAGATACTCTTTTATGATCTTGCTTAAGTTTAAGTGCTACTCGCACAAATTTTGTCTCCCCTCTAGTCATTGAAACCCGTTGTTTGACTTTTACATTCACTAATGACAGCAGATAATAATATGATACAAACAAAATCATACTAGTTTCAAAATGGCTTGTGGTAACGATTTTTGCTTTCTCTCTTCTACTTCTAAAGAAATTAAAATTCTGTCTGTTTTTTTTATTGGGATTTGGCATACAGTAATAGTTTTATGCACATTAAACCCCCCGCATGTAATTAGTTTACTTGGAATGCCTCAGTACTTCAAGGATTAAGTTTTGGTGGGATAGGCCTTCAGTAATAATTGATTGGAACTAATATTCCCCTATAGCAAGTTATCTTCAGTGTAATCTTTGCTCAATAGTTGCAACTAACTGAGGTTTTCCATTTGTACTGTATATTGTAATTTGCTAGTACATACTGTGGATGGCTTGTTATAAACACATGTAACAAGTCTTTTGTTTAATTTTTCCATGTTATTTTGTTCAACGAACATTATACGACTTGCCAACCCATAAGGCCAATGTTAAATCTTTAAATGAGTTGTGTAGCGAAATATGACTTTTTCTAGGTAGTGGCTGTCGTCAATTACGTATTTAGGCCCATAAGTCCCTAATTCCAAAACCCTTCCACTGTATTTCGAGATATATATTACAGACAGACATTGCTCGTATTAGAGTATAGGATTTTGAAATGTATCTATTTTTTATTTGAAAGAATAATTTTACAAATGTTATTGATTAGTAGTTATAATGTTTAAGTTGATGGTGTCGCAGAATCTTGAGAAAAACTTCAGCTTAAATTTTAAAACAGTAAAAAAATGCAAACAAAAGTGAATACCTGCATCAGTTACGCCCCGAACCAATACATACCCCCCTTGCCTCAGTCACCATTGAATATTACAGATATTTTATCCTCGTCCGGGTTGATATTTCAACGTGGTTGTTTCCTTTAACCGGCTTTTGAGTTTTGAGTTTGTTGGTGGACCTAACATAAGCATGAAACGATCTCTTTGTAACAGAAGTAATATTTCTGATGTTGTAGAAACAATTGTGATTCTATGACATGTAACAACTACGTAAATACCATTATAATTAGCATATATAATATATAATTAGCATTAATTAGAATGGTGTTAGATGATCTTTGTTGCTTTGTTACTGACTAGGGTCAGCTGTTTTTTTTTTCAAGTGATCACAAACTGTAATCAAGGGACTCTTGAGTCCATTTTCGAAACACCAAAAAGCTACTGACTTTTCTCATGATCAAAACGACCCCCTTTTGATTGTCAGACAAACACTATAACCACTCAGCTTCACTCTGATCCTACCCATGCTTTGCTGTGGGATTAATCTAAATTGATTACATTTAATGCACCAACATTTAATTACTATGGTTTACTTTAGTGTCCAAATCTACAGTTAAAACAATAAGTTTTATAATACATTTTATTGTAAACTATTTTAGGGGAATGGATTTATTATTCCAGAAAAGCGATTTACTCAAAATTGAATATTTCCTCCTCTATGTAGACATTGATACACATTTGACATTGACGAACTCCCCAGCCTCAGACAGATATGATCTTTTGAAAGACCTACTGAGGTAATCCTACATCAGCTTCTGCATGATATGACAATATGAGCCCTCCAACGAGACGAGACTACAGTATTGCTGGTTAGGCCTTCAACTATTTTAAATTATTGAAGCGCATTAAGTAGGAATCGTGACAACTGTGCCTGCTACTCAAAACATAACTGACTCTACCGAACGCGGTGACTTCAACGAATGGATTTACTGAATCCTCTTCATTTTCCCATTAAACAACCTTGTTTAAGAGGTTGGCTTTAGGGGGATAGCTCAACTCCGCACGGTGCTCAAATTTAAGCAGATGGAAATTTGTATGGCCCCCGAAGGGTCCAGTCCAATTTCACGCGTGTCGTAACACTTCGGTCCAAGTAACACTTCGGCCCAGTAACATTTCGGGCCGAAACCCTCAGATGTGGCCTACGGTCCAACTCTCTACCTGCCCACTAGTAACACTTCGTCCCAACAAAATATTTGACAGGTTAGGTTAGGTTAGGTAAGATTCCACAGATTCTCCGTCATGTAAGGTCAGAGGATGCAAGGGGTGACGGTTGGGCGACATTCCACCAGAGGGTGGTTGCAAAGTATACAGGTCATGTACCTCTTACTACCTAAACTGCGTTCCTCAACCCTTGTCAATTTTTCGTCGGGCCGAAATGTTACTCCATTAGCTTATTTAATCATCTGTAAAAGCGAGTGGGACGAAGTGATACTGTTTTTCTAAGAAATTTGAGTTTGGCCGAAATGTTACTGGGCCGAAGTGTTACTACATCAGCACAACACGGTAGCGTGCTACCGTGTTGTGCTTTCGTATGAGATATGATGTGTTGATAACATATTCTATATATGTTACACTTTTATTTGTTCATAGATTCTTTATTCATGTGACAGGTTAGGCTTGTTTAGGTTAGGTTATATTAGATTGGGTTAATGATGGGTAAATTAAAATGAAACATAAGTATTCTATTTAGTACTAATTAACTTTATTATATTAGTTACAGTGGTTTCGTACAGTTCTAAATTATGTATATTTATTATAATTTCAAACTTCAAATACAAACTCACAGCCGTCAGGACTGTGAGAGCCAAAATTGACCACCGCACGGAGTTGGACATGTGCCACGAGGGACCCGAAGTGACCACCGCGCGGAGTTGGACATGTGCCGCGAGGGACCCGAAGTGACCACCGCGCGGAGTTGGGTATGTGTTACGAGGGATCCGAAGTGACCACCGCACGGAGTTGGACATGTGCCGCGAGGGACTCGAAGTGACCACCGCGCGGAGTTGGCCATGTGCCGCGAGCGACCCGAAGTGACCACCGCGCGGGGTTGGACATGTGCCGCGAGCGACTCGAAGTGACCACCGCGCGGGGTTGGACATGTGCCGCGAGGGACCCGAAGTGACCACCGCGCGGAGTTGGGTATGTGTTACGAGGGATCCGAAGTGACCACCGCACGGAGTTGGACATGTGCCGCGAGGGACTCGAAGTGACCACCGCGCGGAGTTGGACATGTGCCGCGAGCGACCCGAAGTGACCACCGCGCGGGGTTGGGACGCTCGCAGAGGCCTGCGCGTGGGACGTATCGCACAATGCATGGGGATGACTTGACCCAGTACTAAACTGTCAATAATACGGCGGATCCACGTCACGACTGCATTAGTTTAGCGCTGCAGACTGCAGACTAAGCCATCAACTCACCACGGTAATTTTCTGTCACGCCTTTTGTGTTAATGTTCTGCATATGTTTGCGATAAAATCGTAGAAACAAAACTTGTTACCAAGTCTGTGCTGTTCATGTAAATCGCCATTAATTTCCTTAATCACTTTGTTGGAGTTGTTAACAACCAGGAGGATATGTAACTCGCCCCACGATGCGCCAGGATTACTTAACCGGCGTGAACCCTGAGGCCACCGGGTCGGCCACTGGCTAACAGCTACGTTCTGCACGGTAAACAACGGTAGTTACAAGTGGTCGTTATCTACTTATCCAGAGGTTGTTATAAACCGGTTGGATTGTAACGATTGTATTAGTATAGGTTTCGGCTGTATACAAGAGGATGTTGGTTTGTTTGTATATTTGTTTAGTAGTGATAAAATCAGACACCGCTGGACAGATGACAAGGAAACTTGGTACATACATGTTAGAATTTCACAAAGTAGGTTTATACACCATCAATTTCGTGATAACTTTCAGAGCTTAGCCCTGAGACCGTCATGTCAGAGATTTTGTTTGATTTGTTTTCTAACCCAACATATGGAAGTAAAGTGATACCTTTGTTTTAATTTATATTTTGTTTACTTTTCCCCTGAGTTGATTCTCAGGATAGATCAGGACAACATATCTTTTGTTTAAAACAGTTTGTTGCTTTTGATGGTGTTATTTTCAATAAATAATTTGAATGACTCCAGAGGATTAACTCAGCTAAAGGCGGCAAACATGTTTGTGAATAAATATTGGTTTACTAAGGCAATTTTGCTCTACACAACAATAACCTTTAAATTTGAAGAAAAAACTCATTATTAGTCATTATTTTTTCAGCCATTCTAAGTTCAATTTCTTTGTCGTGAGCCATCTCTTATGATTGTACTACTTATCATACGCTTAACTAATTCACTAATACACAAGTTTGCAAATTGCACAGTTAAACAATTTATTTCAACTTTCTAAGACGGAACTATAGAGTCTTAATAACGTTAGAGTCTTAGGTAACGTTATCCCTGGTTTAGTACATTGCAGAATTGACTGGCAAATGAGTAATCCAAATGTAATATTGCTACTGGCTTTACGATAAATCACGATCAGCTGTATTGAAGTAAACAAAAATCAACAGTAAAAAGCTTATAATGCTATTCGTATGGAGAACATTTTACATTGTACATTGTTTTACGTTGTAGAAAGTTTACATCTCAATTTATGTAAACATTTTGGAAATTTCACTATTTCTCCTGCCGTCACGGTATCAAGACGTTTAATTTGAGCCCTCTCTCCCCATTCTACGACTTCCCCGTCGCCCAAAATTTCGACCCAAAGAATCGGCTTACGTAATTAATATATAGACTGTAGCTTGTAGGGACAAAAGTCCCTAAAAAGCTAAAA